TGGCTAATTAATCTAAAGATGAAGAATAATGATCAAATAAAAGCCTACAGGCAGCATAATGTGAATACATTATATTGGACTCTTCTATGCTTCATTTGAAAATATCTTTGTAAGTTGACTTTAAATGAGAAACAGACACTTGTCTAATGTTTACTCACTATATTAATAAAAAATTCAAGGGCACACAGTTTGCTAGATGCTATCACTGCTTTATATTCTTCCCTCATACTTATGTTCACGTACAGTAGTAGTATATTGACTTTGGCAAAACCCACATGATGTACATATATCTTGACTAGTAACATTTTTCAAATTAAGTGAAAAAAATTCAAACACCAGAAAGAAATGAAGTGTAGATCTTTATATCTGTAGTAAAGACAGCAAGTCCAGATTATTTGAATGAAATGTAAGCATTCTGTCACAATCTTCTAACATCTCTTTATAGAATTTAAATATATACAGTCTTTATAAATACAGCGACACAACAACTACATGTATGAAAGCAAACATAAGATAAGAAACTTTATCAGCATTTGAGTTCAGCCTCTGCTAAATTTGTGCGTTTTCTTCTTCCCTTAAATAACAAACACTGATTTAAAAAAGACAATTAATATGATAACGCTTGGCATATGCTCTTCTTACATATATCTTACATGCAACTTTTTGAATTATGTTTTTCAGAATAATATATTTTATGTAAAACAGATTTTCTGCAACCTAGAGCATAAAAAAGACACTTTAAAAAAAATGCTGTCATCAACCCAAGTGTGCCACATGAAGCATCTGTGGCATCATTATGAGATTTTAATGTTAAGAAAACGCAGAATTCTGTGTTGAATCTTTTTCAGTTTCAAACCATAGATTAAAGGATTCATAATTTGAGGTATGATAAGAAACTCTATAGCGATAAAGTTTTGGACGGTTTGAGGTAAATCCCTTGAACCGTATCGAATATACATAATATCCAACAGTACAGTCACAAGGAAAGTGAGCAGGGAGGCTAAATGTGGCACACATGTCTGCATGAACTTTGCCCTGTTTTCTGCAGAATTCACACATGTTTTGATGAGATACATGTAGGACCACACTATAAAAGCACCGTGCAGTACGTAAAATATTATCGTTATATAACCCACAATATTGTTCAGAGTAGTGTCAGCTGGGTAACATGCAAGCAAGACAATAATCCAATTCACACAAAACAGCCTGGCAATATGACGACCGCACAGCTTTAATCTAGAAGTTAGAAAGATATTCGTTGACATGATGCAAAAAGGTGTAATCACAGAGAAACACACTAACTTGACCAGTCTCTGCTTGGACATGAGGGAGTGATACTCTAGCGGTCGACATATAGCCAAGTATCTATCGTACGCCATCACTGCTAGAATAGAGAGATCACTGCAGGCAAAGGAGTACATCACTAGAGCCTGGATGAGACATCCAGAGTATGAGATAACATGAACTGGAGACAACAGATCCCAGAGAAACTTAGGATAGAAACCAGATGACCCATAAAGGCCGTTCATACAGAATATGCACAACAGAATATACATTGGTTCATGCAGAGTTTTATCAATGATGATGGTCACAATGAGAATAGAATTGATCACCAATATCGTACAGTAACAAAGTAAAGTGAGGAAGAAAATAATAAAGCGGTAGTTCCTTGTCTCACTTAAACCTGAAAGAAAAAACATTGACGATACATTATCCATCCTGGCAGGTGAATTATGTTCTCTTTTTCCCTCTTTGAGGGATAACTCTGTCTTTTACTGTCTCAGTGCACTCTTCTCTTCGCGCTGGTATTAATATTTTGTGCGCCCACATTAACACACCGACCAATCATTAGAGGTTTCATGGTTATCACCTAGTAACAAACTGTAAACACTAAACAAAATGAACAACAATACAACTGACATGATTGAATGATCGTGATTGAATGCACACAAAAAAATCATCCTGCAAGCACAACGGTTTTTGATTTAAATTCAAGCCAATTCATACAATTTTCATACTTCATTCTTGATAATAAGGATAATATTCTATAATAATTTCTAACTAAAGATAATTAACCCATTTATTGTGAATTTCTTTTCTGTCCAGTTTTCCTGCTGTGTCCCTTTTCATCATCATCAGAATCATAATCTTTATTGCCAGACTCAGGAGTTCATTATAAAACATATAAATTATATATTAACATATAAAAAAAAACCAATACAACAACAAGCACAAAAACAACAACAACAACAACAATGTACACATAGTCTTAAAAGCTAAATCAATGCAAGTAAGAGTTGAGTGTCAGTGTCTGTATTAAAATAAATGTTGTTCTCAAATGCCAAAAGGAAACCAGACAATCCAAAATGCATTTACTGAAAAACGCAAATGCACGTATAGGATATGTGGACCTCTCTTTGCAATGGACAAATTGTGTAATTTAGCACTATCATGAAGTTAGTTTGAAGTTGGAGTGTACAGCAAACGATAAACAAGATAGCACCAGGAAGCAGGCCTTGGAGCAGATGTGATGTAACCAATTTTAAACCTCATGGGCCAGTCTGTTACCAGTTGTTATTTTCTTTTACGCAGTCACTTTAGCAAAAAGGAAGATGCATTTTTCTTTCTCGCATTTTAGCCGCAGATAATAAATGACTGAGGCAGATATCCCATGTTAAAAAAAGGTCTACAGATTCATCGCTATGGCATTTTCTGGTCATGCTGTATATGTCTCAACCATAGCGTGTTTAACTCTGCCAAGGTGAAGCCAAAATATTTAGAGCTCCCCCTACTGACTGGCTGCAGTATAGGTCATAAACCCCGGCTCCCTGAACAGATGGGAAACGGGTCAAACTTTAAAACCAAAATACATAATACATATTTTCATTCATCTTAAGACTGGTTTATATCATGCTAGCTGGTTAGGATTACACTGATTTGTGTTCAAGTCCTTTTTTTTTTTAATTTGTGATTTGATGTTATAAAAAGGTGTAAAATGTCAAGATTGACAGGTCTGTTGATAAATGTGGACATAGAGGTATTGTGTGCAGCATAAACAGAGTAGACTTGGCTTTTGCATGATGAAGGTCAAGTACAGTAATATTGCCATTAAAGGAGCAATATGTGAGATATCTACTGAATTATATCATAACGTGACTATATCATCAGACATTAAGAACCATACAATACTGAAGTGCTGTCTTTTCTGTCAACAATGCAGCAGCCAATATGTCCGCCTCCTAAGTGTTGATTCTGGTCTAGAATGGTTTGTTTTCTCTCTTGTGCAGACTCTTGTTCCAGATGAGAAAATGTTTGCACTTATCAGTGGGGTATTTTGGCTTCACTTTTGTACAACAGGAGCAGGGGGAGAGGTGTTGTCCTACTATATAGTCAAGGGCCTTAGTTTTTATTAAGACACCCCGATATTAAGACACTGTCCTGCAAGATGCTGTGCTTAAAAGAAAGTCCAGAACTTTATTCTTAACCGTTTTAGAATTTCAATTCATTCAGCTTTAAAAATGTGGCGCTTCAGAAACTTAAGATAACCTTTAGACCTTCGTCAGTGTTGCTGTAAGGTGTGGTCGAAAGATCAGCTCGGGTTGTGAAATATATGAAGCGAGATAGGTTGATCTGCTTTGTGTTGTAAATGTCACAATTTCCTTATGTCAATCACATCAGTAGAGGGGACATCAAAATTTGTACAAAATATAGTGTCAGCTTATTGTAGATCCGGTTTGCCAGCAGGGGGTGCTATTCATCAGTCTATGAACAAAGTCAAGTGAAGAAGTGAGGTTGAAAATGTTAGTTCACCCTCTATAAAGTTTCATTTATTATTTCAGTCCTAGTCTTATGCCTGCAATTTTTTGCCTCACATGCACCGACAAGTCCAAGTGTGTAAGTTTTGGAGGGTCTCTCTGTTTGTCTCTCTGTATACACAGAGAGATGAAATAATGGGCTAAGCTATTTGTTAATAAACATTTTCTGAGTCAGTCTGTCTTGTAAACTAAACACGCTCCACAATAATGTGTAACCATTCATGTGTTTGCCTAACTTTGCCTATAGTGTGAGTGTTCCCTTATACACCATTTTGAGAGGTGCCAGATTGCTTCCTGAGCACTGCCGAGGTGCCCTTGAGCAAGGCACCAAACCCCTTACCCACCACCAGCTCAGGAGTGCCTGCCGGGGGCAGCTCCGTCACTCTGACATCTCTCCATTAGTGCATGTCCACAGGATCCTGTTTGTGCATGTGTGTATATTTCAGCCTATGTGTGTGTTGCATGACTTACAGAGTGTAAAAACAGAATTTCCCCTTGCGGGATCAATAAAGTAAATCTTAATCTTAATCGTAATATATACCCATTAGCGCTTCAGTGGCTTTATAATGCCATATGACTTTAACATTAACAAAAATGTATCACAAATCAATGTTCTTATGAATTATAAAACACAGGCATGTTCAAAAAAATCTGTCATTGATTTTCAACTGGCAGAGAAATGAACTAACACGTTTTTAACTTGCACTTCCAGGAGGAACGTGTCACCTCTTAGGATGGAGTTTTATGCTGTTTCATATTTTCAGACATACAGTATATATACTGTTATAATGTTGGCTATTTAAACTGAAAAAGGGAAATGTTTCAAGTGTCTGAGTAAGCCCCATTTTGATCAGTTAAAATCCACATCTAAAAATCAAATTCTTCTATGGAAACAATTTTGCTTTTGGAATAAAAATCTGGACAACAAGACATATGTTTCTTCATACTTTATTCACAACTGTTCACCGTCTCTCCCAAGCCTATAACTGGCATATAAAGTCCAACCATACAGAATGAAGGAGGGGAAAATAGGAACACCCAGACCGATTGATGTTTAGATATAAAATTACACTTTGTTAAATAAATCATCCACTGAAAGCATAGAAAGGAAATATGAACATATTAATGATTATGTAAGATAATGTAAGAATAAAGATAATGTAAGAATACTTTAAAACATCTCGATCACATTATTTTGAAATTGTTTTTTTGTTTTTTTCTTTGAATTAAAGGGTAATGCAACTGTGAGCCCATTTTTTTTTTGAAAGTCATTGCTGCAGCCAGGTGTTGCAAGTTCAGAATTATGACAAAAAATCTCAAACAGTTCACGTGTATCATGTTGCTCTCATGTCTCAGGTTTAGTTTTGTTTCTTTGAGTCAGGTTATGAGCATGATAACATTCTTAAAATAACTTTCCTTATATCTGGAAGCTTCAGGCCGTAGACGAGAGGATTCACAAGGGGGGGAATGAAAACGAACTCGAGTGATAAGAAAACCACCAGAAACGGATTCAGCTCCTCCAGATTGGTTCTACTGAGGGCGATATCACAAAACACAGTGATAGAATAGTTGACAAACGTGACAATGTGTGGCAGACAGCTTTGTATGACTTTGCTCTTGAACTCTGAGGAGCGTTTCCGACAGAGGAGGAAAATCCGCACATATGTGTACAAGACAAAAGCCAGAGGCAGAAAGACAGTGCTGGTCGTCACAAGCATACCAATAAGGTTATTGAGCGCCGTCGAGATACATGACAGTTTTACAACAGACCAGTTTGCACAGAACACCTTTTGTATCTTATTTCCACACAATGGAAGTCTGGAAGCCAAATACACACAGGCAAAAACAGCCAAGGCAGGATAGAGCCATGCCAAGAAAATCAGTATGGAAACCACCTTTGAGGTCATTTTGGTGTGGTAATGTAAAGGCTGACAAACAGCAACATAGCGATCATATGCCATAATGCCTAAAAGGGTGAGCTCATAGGAAGCATAGGTGTAAATGACATATACCTGAGTTAAACAAGCTGGTCGTGAGATCAAATGACTGTCAGACAAAAGGTCAGTCAGAAATCGGAAGAAGAAGCCTGCGGTGCCGTACAGAGAGTTGAGAGACAGACACATGATGAAAACATACATGGGCTCATGTAGAGTCTTCTCAAAGGTGATTACAACAACGATGACAAGATTTGCTGAGATGATGAAAGCGCACAACAGGAAACACAAGACAAATGTTGGGTAGCGGTAGTTGCCTATGTTCACAAACATGGTGAGGTTAAAGTAAGGGGGATTAGTGCCGTTTTCCATCTAAAATGTACACAGTAACGGAGACAGTTTGATGAATGACAAGCTTTAAAGCTGGATGCCATAAATCATTACAACGCAGCTGAAACTCATAGACTAGAGGAGAGACAGGTAAATGTACATGAAGGGCATTGAACACAACAGAGAAGACAGAACATGTGTTTAGAATAAGACACAATAAGTAAGTAAAAACCATCCAATTAAATCAGAATCTCAGTTACATTTATAATCGGTGTAAAAATTCCAAAGTCTTTCACCTGTCCTACATGGTGTCATGCTGTCTGTGTGTGCTCTGTGGCGTGGCAGGTAACCTCTCTTTAAGGTGTCATACCTTATTATGTCACTGCCGTGGTCATTATGTATCCCTGGGGGACGTGGCAGGGATTTCTGAGTGTGCAAAACACATATAGCCATAACAAAATAATAACATACAATGTTATTACAACAATACAGAAACAAACACATTGGTCGATAAGAGAAAAAAAATATTTTTGGAAGATAAAAACTCTTGACGCTTTATACATTTCCAACAAACAGTTTGATGGCAATTTTAATTCAACTGCATTTTATTTGTATAGCACATTTCAGACAAATTAAGCTCAATGTGCTTTACGGTAGACAAAAATAAACAAAATTTATACAAAATTATACAAAAATAATACAAAAACAATCATTAAAATGAATAAACAAATAGGTTCAAAAGCACAATAAAATCCCCAAAAACATTTTTAAAAAGGACCCTGCACCATTCCATACAACACATACACAACACATACACATGTTCCTACTAGATTGCAGGATGAAGAAGATGAGGATGGTTTTGATTTTGATAATGACGATGATGATGGTTTTGATGCTGACATTTCAAATTATTTATTTTTGAAAGTTGCAGTGATTAATAAGAGGACTTCAATCGGTAGAGTTACTGCCAGAATGAGATACATCGGGAGGACCTGGAGAACCTGACAATGATCTCATTGTCATTATGGCCTGGACTACATTTCAGTTTTACAGCCCTACTTTCTCTGACTTTGTGTAAAATCCCTTGATGTGAGATGGCTAAACAGATTGCGTTTATTAGTTTCTACTGAAACTACACATGCTGTCATTTTTTTCTGAGGTGTCATTCTCATTTTTCCAGGCAGTGACTAAAAGGTTTACTACTATAGCCAGATGTGACATATCAATTATTGGTACAATACCGCGTAACAACCCTCTGCCCTCTTTGAATGCATCCATTAAGTGACAAATGGTTGTCATGTAAAGGCCGAAGCTTCAGGGTCAATTTCCGACCATGATTATTTTTCACTGTCCTGCACTATCGGTGTAAAGTGTGAGTGGGGGGGGACCTTTCCAAATGTTAAAAAAATAACATCTTAAGCCCCTTACGTCTTGCAGTCAATGTTTCAAGGGCAGAATAGAGGACCGAAGTTACTTCACCACTGAGCCGTCATATGTAGCTCTAGCGAAAGTTCAGTCAGGAAGACTATATTTTGCATGCTCGTTTTATTATTTATTCTTATCCCATGTCAAATCACTCCTCCATGCATGCTCATTCATTTTCTCGTAATCAACAGTCAGGCTCACAGTCTTCCTTATTGCCCTCTAGCTCTGCCAGGGCATCCCTTGTGTATCTTCAGTAGGTGTTGAAAAATACAGAACTTGGGTTGAAAGAGTCACTACATACTGACTTGAAATACATATTTTTTTGTGAAATAAAAAAATATAAAAAGACATGACGTGATGTGAAAGATAAGGGTTTAGCTCAGTGCCTCTGATGCAATATTTGATGATGTTCAGACTAATGAGAGCCCATGGGACATTAAACTGTACACTGTACTTTCTGAAGGATAATAATGTTGTATCATTAAGTTGGATATGGTCAACAGGTCATTATCTCTACTATCCCTGGAGTGCAATTAGACACAGTTTGCCACCCTGGAGAGGCACCATGGGTACCAAACCAAAACAAAGATGTTTTTCAGTCTAGCAAATGGTCAAGAGAATGAAATGTTTTTGGCAAACACCCAGCAGTAGGTGCAGTCGGTGTTTAACAAAGACAGAGGGAAGAATGACCCGCTGACCCTGCACATACAGACTTTTATTACTGAGCCCTATAGGTTTAGTTCCATTACAAGTGACCTTTACTTCTAGGACATTGCTGTGACCGAATTCATCTTAATCAAGCGGGATCATATCCCATATTTGAAACAAACCATGGCACCATATATGAGCATTATTATCTGTTTGAAAGAGCAATCCCATTTCAAGTTTCCTCTAGTGTTTTGTAAGCCAGGCATGCCACCAGGCGTTGTTACATCCTGTTCCAGGCCATCACTAATTTTGCCCTCCTGTGCTGAATGGTGTTCAAGACTTAGACACTTAAAGCTCCTGTGAGGAATTCTGAGCTGGTTATGAAACAGACTGAAATTAATATTGATGCCTCTTGACTTGCAAAAGCAAACAAGACAATCAGCAACTGATGTGGATTTCCTTGTTGTTGATATGTTTGATGATGAAGAAATTCGCCGTTGAGACTGACTTGCTTTCAAAGAGTATAATTTTATTTAAGCAAGAAACAGAATCACTGGTCACGTCTGACCAGGAGGATCAAGAAGCCAATAATGATCTCTGTCGAACACACAGAGACAATTGCTTATATGCACCTAAACATCTGCTTTTCGTCATGGGTCATAAAAACATCAAGTTACACAACCATATATGGCAATACTCCTATACAACACCTCAATTTAAACATTCCACCTAAGGGGACTCCTAAATCTCCTTCAGATACTATCTCCAGACGCACCCATTGTAAACTTATATTATCTCTGTCCTGGTTACATCAGACACTTCACAACAACAAATTTACTGTCTGAAGCTGCTGCCACAAGTAGGTGGTAAATAAGATATTTTACAGCACCCTGAAAAATCAGCCTTTTAGTTTACACTTTCTACAAGAAATCTTAACAATGAGTGATGAATATGAGTGTTGAAGACTGAAGGATGAGATTTGATGTCATAAATCACTGCCCAACCAAGGACTGGTCAAGATTAGCAAAAGCCAGTCCCCCAGTTCAAGGGATGGGAGTCCGTGGACAGGCCCTCCGACGAGCCATCAGGTTTCTGTCAGAGGCTGCAGAACGAAGCAGCAATTGGATCTGGCTGAAAAGAAAGGATCCCAACTGGGCTGCAAGATGACCATAAGCATACTGGAGGGGTAAAAGCAGAGGGGGGTTCACCTGGGATGCCAGGTGTTGCCGTTGAGCCCTTGAGATGTTGTGGGCCTATCAATGAAACATCAAGGAAGGAGGGTGCCCACCTGAGGACCCCAATGAAGCGATTACCCCTACCCCCCCATTCAAGACATCAAGACTCAATAAAGTGCAGATTACTGTAAGAGGGATTGTAGCATCAAGTCCTATGAGCTCAACTAGTTTAATTTCAAATGGTCAGGTTTGATGGTTTTAAGCTAACAAAGACAAGAAGGTTCGGAAAACACCTTGGGATAGTTTGGTGTTTGTTTGTTTGTTTACTTTTGGTTTCCACACAGGGGTAAAACCGGTCATTCTACAAAAAAAACTCTTGGCTCTGAACATCAAATATTGATGTTTGTAAGTTTAGATCACATTCAGTTGTGACCTCAGTGTGTCTCATGCAGCCCCCCACCCTATCCTACAGCTTTTTAGAGTAAACGTTGGCCAACTGACACTTGATAGAAGTAGACTGAAGGCAGGACAATGAGATTTGCAGATTATTTTCAAAAAACTAAACCCAGAGGTAAAACAAGATTATTATCTGTATTAATCATCTTTACCTACCCCCTGACCCCCCTATGCCCCCAATCCACAGGCTGATTAAATACAATCAAAAGTCTGATAAGCCAGTGTCAACTTTTTTTTTTTATACTTTGTTTTAAAATAGTTTATATAGTTTTATAGACCATTATTTACAACCATATATCAGTATGAGTTTTTTTTTCAGCCATTTTACATAATTCAATAATTTCAAAAGTCAATATTGTATATATGTATTAAGTAGTGACCGAAAATGCATAGGCTGAAGCAAACTGCTTTTAATAGCGTAAAAAAACAAATATTTATCATGCAGACAGCACCTTATAACAAGACAAAAACTGATATTAAGAACAAAATCAAATACAGAAATGCTGGAAGAAGCAGCTGAATCCGTTCGCGGGGATCATGATAAAGTGATGGAGGGAGTATCCTCTTGCTACAACATGTGACTCATGAAGTTATTAATGTCTAATCAGTGTCATGATGGACTAAGAAATTAAATATTATGTATTTTTTTCTGGTCAGACAATATTTCCCCCTCAACAATTTATTGGTGTACCTACAGATTTAAATCATTCTTCCAAACGTTAAGCCATTGCTTTGCTTATAGGGTAAAATACACTCAGCTGAAGTCTCCGGCTATGAAAGGGTTAAGCTAGAGGCCCTGCCTCTGTTACATATTGGTGACTAATCTGCAGCTGAGTTGTAAAGACTCCTGGCATGAGAGACAGCTTTCAACCAGAAAGAAACATTTTTAATTAGCAAATAGTCTGTCTTGATTTCATTTTTGTTTCTTTTTTTTTTAAGTTGTATGTTTGTAAGGTGATTTTAAGCTGCTGCATGATTTACCCGTTTTACCCGTTTTCTCTTAAACTGAAAAACGAAGCTTGTGGAAGTAGGTCTAGGGTCAAATGCAGGCAGGAGTGCAGAGCTCGAGAGTGTCCTGGCTGAAATCCTACAAACTGGTTGAACAATGGAAAGAGCAAGAAGATAAGAATATGGAATATAACTAAAGGTAAAAGAGGCTAAAAAACAAGGAAAGAAAACAAGACTGAGCAAAAGAGGAGGAGAAAGGAGATTGTTTTTATCTCCAAAACAGAGGTCAGGGAAGTTCAATTCAGAGAGACAGAAAAGAAAGAAAGAATTTACGGCTCAACATCACCATGACGTATCGACTGTTCGAGGGGAAGGAGCATGCTTCCATCTACCAACAGTATCGCTTTACTCCTCCAGAAGAAATCAAGAACATTATTCTTCAGTACCTAGATAGAAAGGTAAGCCATGGCCAAATACAGCATGTACATGTATACTGCTTTTACATTCTCCTTGTTTGGTGAACTTAAGTTGACGATGCAAAACAACAACAACATTTAACATTTTGAGTATATTCATGTGTGCTGACATCCTCAGAAGGGACAGCCACATGTGCTGGCCGTGGATCTTGGATGTGGGACAGGTCAGAATTCCCGGCTGCTGGCACCACATTTCCAGGAAGTGGTGGGCATTGACATCAGTGAGTGTCAGCTGGAGGAGGCCAGAGGTGTACCAGGACACTCAAACATTACATACAGGTAGGAGTGTACTGTAAGAGTTTGTCTGCACGTCAAAGCAATGCTTTAAAATGATACTGATGATGAAATGATCAATTGACCTGTGACTTGTTTGTTAAACCTGCAGGGAGGGGACGGCAGAGGACCTTCCTTTTCCTGATGGCTCTGTTGACCTTCTGACAGCAGCGTCAGCAGCTCATTGGTTTGATCGGTCGAGGTTTCTGGCTGAAGCGAGTCGAGTTTTAAAACCCAAGGGT